TTTTGCTTATACTTGACTTTTTTGAACATGTATTTATATAAACGATACCCATATGGCCATATGGCTATATGAAGTAAAGGGACTATTTCCCTTTGTTGGTAAAGCATGACATTTCCCCTCATATTTTTTAAAAAAATTTTTGACTATGAAATTTAATTTTTTGTTTAATGTCTTATTYCGTGTTAATCTGTGATAAAATTAAACATTACATTACCAAAATAAATACTTTAATTATTAATATATGTTGTACTATCTATTGTTCATTAACTAATTAATTAAAAAAATATATATATTTTTTTCATTGTCTATTTGATACAGTAAAAAGCAAAAGAAATGTTTGCAATAGAAAAAACAACGGGGGAAAAGGGGGAATGTCCTATGTAATATTATATTTAATTTTTCTTATACAACATAAAAATATTAACTATTAAATGTTAAAACAAATTAATATTACTTATAAAAACTAGGATTATTGGAAAATATTTTTTTCAGCAATAATCATCAACGACTAATGTATTATACATAAACAGTTGTCATTTCATCTCCAAATAAAAATTATATTTTCAATTTTAATATTGTTTTTTTAAATTAATTATTCTAATTTCTAAATATATGTATTCTAGGGTTCAAGATCGAGAAATAAAATTTTAATCGTACGTAATACTTCATTAGGCATAGAAGGAATCACTGAAAAAATTAATGAAGAAATTAATGAAAATCATTAGTAAATTATGATCAACTTAAATTGGATGTTAAAATAAGTAAATACAATAATATAATATAATTAGTTATAATATTATAATATATATATTATTATTATATGTTATAATATTATTATTTTATAATAATATAATTGTGTTTAATACTTTATGACTATAAATTTTTATTTTACAGAACATGTAATTGAAAGGAGACAAGATGGCACACTGGCGACTGGTTTAAATGGATAACTAATACAATTTATTATGATGTGTAACATCTGTATTGAATATCTAATGGACCAAGTAATATTTAATATTTATGTGTATTGCTTAAATTGGACTGACCATATACCTAATTATTATTTTAGAATTTTGGTATTGAATACAAAAATAATTTTCCATAATCTAYCTTAATTGAAACCAATCACTGAACAACATACAAAATACATAACAAACCAAATTGTTTGCAAATGTATCCACTGCATAAATATGTATACAACATTTATTTTCATCTCAGTTATACCAAAGTTATATTATCAGTTATTAAAGAACCAAAAATTTAATTTTGCATAATTATAGAAATTATTTTTTCRTCTAATATTTAAGTTTATTTTATTTTAATTATATTTTGGTCAAGCTATAAATTAATATTATTTTTTTTGTGTAATATAATATTATAATAATTTAATTTACCTAATWATTCTTCAAATTTTATATTTTAGATTAGCGGAGTAATTCATTTTTTGATTTTTTCCGTCTTACGACGTATTAGAGCAATAAAAATAATTGTATATTTTCTACTTCAGTATATTTTTTGGTATCAAAGTGGATCTAGTTGATATATGTTATATGAGTATAGAGAAGTGCCAAATGAGTAAGAAAGTCTGATACTCATCTACTTTTTCTTAACAATTGAGTAAAATAAAAACAATTGCAGACAACAAACATTTTTACGCAAAACAATTTTTATTATTTTGTAGTAGTTCATAAACAAATATTTATAT